GATGGCACCTGACAACAACAACAACAACAATGCCAGTATATTGATGTTTATGCGTTCCATTTATGACAATTACCAATTTTCCTAGTTTCATAGTTCATACTTTCCACATTCTGATTATTAATGGATGTTTACAGCTGTTTCTCTTCCTTTTGAGTTGTTCTCCATGAGCAAATGAAAGTCCCCAAAACTTTACTCCATTTGTGTCATCCCAGTCATCTCTACTTTGAGGAGGCAGCACTTCCCCAGTTGTATTTTGAGTACCTTCCAATATGAGGGGCTCATCTTCTGACAATATTCTGGCGGTCTTCAGTTTTCAATATACAATATTCTTGTGCTGACAGTGTTCTTTTGCTATTCACAAGGTTTTCAGTGACTACCTATTTGGAAGTAGTCCATCTCTCCTTTTAGTCTGTCTTCATCTGGAAGTTCAGCTGAAACCTGTGTACCATGGGTGACCCTGCTGGTATTTCAAATGCCCTGGCATAGCTTCTAGAATCACAGAAACACACAAGCCATCACAGCATGACAATATCACAGACAAGTTGTGGACTCCATTCATAGTTGAGGAATAACAAGCTAAGTAACTTGTTTGATGGGAAGTTGAATTTCAAGCTAAATACTGGAGTTCAAGTGCTTACTCACACACAACAGATCAAAAACAGTAACCCAATACATATCAAGCAGCGAGGGTGAAGCATGTGTCCTTACCGTTGCTGTTCCCCTCACCACCTTCTGCTTATCCACCTGCAAGATTCCATTCTTGGCTGTGCGAGAGACTCGAAGTTCATGCCAATGGCCCAGGGTTACGGGATCTTCACTCCTGTGGAAGGAAGGAAAGTGAGTATTGTTGGTTGTATGGATAATGTTCATCAATCTAGCTCTGGTCAAACTGAGACCAACTTTAGGCACCTCATGAAATCTATTCAGTAAACAGAAAACAATGGTAAATTCCTGTTTAATAACAACAACAGGACTCCCAAACTGACTTCCAGAAGATTCCAACTCACAGCCACCCTATAGGAAGGAGTAGAACTGCACCCAGGGTTACCAATAAGTCTTTATGGAAGTTGACTGACACATCTTTCCCCCCTTGTAACAGTTCGTGAGTTCAAGCAGTTGACATTTTGGTTAAGAGGGAAGTTCCTTAAGCACTGTGCCACCAGGTCTCCATTACTATTTGATTTAGACTTAATAAATCTGAAATGTAGGTATGAGGAGCCCAGATTTCTAGATGACATCAAGGTAACAAGAGGGTAAAATGGGATCTTAATTTTATAAAAGCTTTGAAACAGAGAAAAACATGTGCAAAGAAATCCAAAAACAAACCCAGATTCCTGTTACACTGATGCCTCATGGCTGCAACCTCCCTTCTTTTGAAATGCATAAAATATAATAAGATGGATGGAGAGGGGGTTATAAGGATGGATAGATGTGTACTAAACAAATATTGTTGTTATGTGTGTTTGACTCATAGTGACCCTGTCTGTATAGGGTTTCCAAGGCTGTAGATCTTTACGGGAGCAGAAAGTCTCATCTTTCTCCTGCGGACCAGCTGGTAGATTTGAACTGCTGACCTTGTGGTTAACAGCTCAGCTCATAATCCACTACGCTACCAGAACTCTTTAAAGCAAATATAACAAGTTGCTAATGATAGGAAGCAGGTAATAAATAGAAGGATGTTTACGGTGCCCTTATTTTAACATGTCTGAAATTTCTCATAACAAAATGCTGGGTGTTGGGGTGGGGGGAGACAGATTCCACATTTTATGGGATTGTGATAGGGATGAAAACCAGCTTTAAAACTCAATTATTAATTCATGGAGGAAGCACTTGAAGTGTAAACAACATTTAAGGCAGTTTTACCCATTACCTTTTATCATGCCATATAGGAGAAAAGTGTAATTATGCATTTGTATTGTTAACATTGTCTCATTTCTGGCACACACTGAACTTCCCAGTATGTTCTGGTCTTGAATCATCTTTCAGAATCTCTCAGGAATACCAATGGGAACAGTTACTCAAAGGTCACTGCCCCATCACTTGGTTTTTGGTTCTGGCAAATGCTTTTGTGATTTGTCCTTAGCAATTAGGATTTAATCACCTTGACTGAATCAATATGCAATAAAGCAGCCAGCTGCACATTGTAAGCGGTCTGTCTCCATATTAAGGAATAGCCCTGTCCCTGCAGAGGTCAGCCCTGGTCAATACGCTGCCTTCCTTAGCGAGCGCCTATCGATCACCGCCACCAAGAGCCCATTTCAACGGTCTCCACTTTTTGAATTGCATTCATAATGAATCTGAACGCTTTATCCTTTTCTGAAAGTTAAAATGATTTTGCCATTTCCACAACTCCCTATGTTGTTGTTGTTATGTGCCGTGGAGTCGGTCCCGACTCATAGCGACCCTGCACAGGGTTTCCGAGGCTGTATATCTTTACGGGAGCAGAAAGCCTCATCGTTCTCCTGCAGAACCTCTGGTAGTTTCGAACTGCTGACCTTGCGGTTCGTAGCCCGATTTGTAACCCTATAGTTGAGGTGTTTTCTGAATTTTCTTAAGTAAGCAAGAAGTCTTTGAAAAGGTTCTCAGAATAAACAGCTTGGTTCCAAAGGGCACCTGAGTCATCCAGTGATCGCTGTTGTCAGCTTTACACTTGAAAGGGACTGACTCAGAAAGCGGGCCTCCTTTTAACCACAAGAGTTAATGTGCTGGACTGCGAAGTCAGTTTGAACCACAAGGATGGAGGAGGCTCAAGCTCACCAGCTGCTCCTTGGAAACCCTATGCAGGGTTGCTATGGGTTAGCACTAACTCGACAGCACTTAACAACCACAACAATACTCAAGAAGGTTCCCTGGGTAGTACAAAAGGTTGGCTCTAGTCTAGCAACCTGAACATTTGTAGTTTGAATTCACCCATAGTTCTGCAAAAGAAAAACCTGGTGATTTGCTTTCTGATGATTATAGCCAAGAAAACCCTATAGAAAAGTTCTACTCTGCAGCACATGGGGTTGCCATGAACCCTCACTGACTCAACAACGGGCTTTTTTGTTTGTTTGTCTGAACACTCAAGAGTCCTTGGATAGTGCAGATGGTTACTGTGTTCTGCTGCTAGCCATAAGGTTGGAGGTTTGAATCTACCCAGAGGCCCGTAGGAAGAAAAGTCTGGCTATCTACCTCTGAAAAATCAGCCTTGAAATCCCTCTATAGATAACAGCACACCTTGAGGACATGGTCACTGGATTTGGGATCTCAGGACCATAGTCTTGGGGGATACCATAGTTATCAGACATAACGTAGTCCACAAAGACAATGTTCTACATCCTACTTCGGTGAATAGTAAGTGGGGTCCTCAAAGTTTGTGATCAGCGATCTAAGAAGCAATTACTGGTCTCTCCTTGTCTGGAGTAAAGAAGAGTGAAGAAAATAGAAGATGCTTGGAAACAATTAATCCAAAGAACTATGGTACCACCTGAATCAGGGCCTCCACAGTCCTGAAACCAGAATTAGATGGTAGCTGGTTAACACTACTGATGTCTTTGAAAGGGATGACATTAGAAGGTTCTGGATAGAATGCAAGAAAAATGTGGAAGAAAACTCAGAAGCACAAACCGACCCACCTTACTGACTTGATAGAGATGGGTGGGCCCTCCCAAACCAGGTCCCTTACGGCACTCTTCAGGCCTGGAACTGAACCCATTCCATTCCCCAGCCAGGTCTATAAGGGGAAGGATGGATGCGCTCCTTAGAATAACTAGCTATTTGAGATCACAATGGCAGTATTTTTCCAAGGATAAAATTCAGAAGGCAGGCATGGTTAGGAAGGATAGAGAAATGGAAACAGGAAACACAGGGAGGAAGTGGGCTGAGTGATGTTTTATATTGTGGGGATTGCAATCAATGACATGAAACAGCACATATAAGAATTGTTGAACGGAAAATGGATTTTCTTTGTAAACCTTCACCTAAGTCACAATAAAATAGTTAAAACACAACAACAACCCCCACCCCCTCCCAAAAAAAAACCAGAAAACAAAAACACACCATAAAACAAAAGGTCGCCATGATTGGGAATCAATGGTGACTGGAAAAAACCACTCAAAATTAAGGTTTTCAGCCATCTTTCCTAATAGTCTGTAAAATAATAAGCATGTATTTAAAACTGAAATGATATCTTGTAAAAATAGGAATTGAGTTATGAGAGAGAGGATGGGGTACCTGTGACCCCACAACTAAAGTAGCCACTGCAGAGATGCAGGGTGGAGGGGACAATCTGTCAGGGGCAGGACTGATTGGTACCCACCCTCCCCTGCCCTTCTGGTCCTGCCTCTCCAGGGAGAAGCCCTTTGAAAATGCAAGGTGTCAATCAAGGTGTCTTCTTTCATCAAGCTGACAGAGCATTCCCAGTTCCCAGTGAATTGCTGAGTCTATTTTGCATAATCATATGTAAATTAAATCAATTACGTACCCACCAAAGTTGTCTTGAAGTGGATTAGAAGCTGAAAAGCTAACTGCAAGGTCAGCAGTTTGAACTCTGGTAGTGTAGTGGTTAAGATTCGGGCTGCGAACCACAAGGTCAGCAGTTCGAAACTACCAGCTGTTCTGCGGGAGAAAGATGAGGCTTTCTGCTCCCGTAAAGATTTACAGCCTCGGAAACCCTGTACAGGGTCGCTATGGGTCGTATTCGACTCAACAGCACTTAACAACAACAACCATAGGTGAAAGCTGAGACTTTTCTGCTCCCATAAAGATTTACAGCCTTGGAAAGCCTATATAGAGTCGCTATGATGGCTCACAACTACTACTACTAAATTTGTCTTGAGATGCAGGTCATGTGTTTTCATAACCAGAGATACAAAAATGTCTGTTTCCCAAGGTGGGATGTGTTACTGATGTGTAAGAAAGCAGACCCAGGACAAGAAATGAGAACTTTTTTTTTTTTAAATGAATTGCTGAAAACTTGAATCAGAAGATCAGTGGTTGAAACTTACCAGCTGGGCGTCGGAAACCCGTTTAGGGTTGCTATGAGTTGGAACCCAGACGTTAGCACTAACAACATGAAGAATGCAATGAGCTAGCAGCCCTGGTTAAATGGTGGGTTAAGCACAGAGCTGCTGATCTCAAGATCGGAGGTGCAAACCTACCAGTCGCTTTAAGGGAGAAAGACGTGGCAGCCTGCTCCTGTCAAGGTTTACAGCCTTGGAAACATTACGGAGCAGTCTTCTGGCCTATAGGGTTGTTATCAGTCAGACTGATAGTAGGGCTTTACTGCACTGAGCATTAGCCATCAGCCAAGAGCTATGATCATCAGTAAAGAGCAACGTATGACTAGGATATCTCACTCACATGCATCCTCTAAAAAAAAAAATGTCCGTCTAGCAAGAGAAACTGTGATTGAATAGAGTCTGCTCATAGTTTTCTTGTAAACAAAACAAAACCAAAACCAAAAATCCCAGGAACGAACTGATTTCCTGCTGCAGGGAACCATTGAGAAAAACACACGAGTGACTTCCACAGCTGTATGAACAAGAAACAAGTCTGCAGTATATGAGTGGGCCTCCAGATGGAAAGGTAAAACCACCATGGGGGAAACTCAGTGAGAAGCAAGAGACATAAACAAATAAGAAAACCATCTGCATCTGCCAACTACAGGCCCCAGGGGTTTCCAAAAGATACTGACTCACAGTCTGGGAGCAATCGATCTGCTAAGCAAATTAATAGCATACACCAGACAATAGGAGAAATGTCTTCACTATACCGAGTCAGCTCTGCAAATACCAGCAACAACTTTAAAAGAGCTCCCGGGTGGCGGAAATGTTAACATGCTGCTGGCTGACTGCTTGGAAATTCAAATGTACAGAGAACCATCTCAAAGGAGAGCCTGGAGCACTATTCTATTTTAAATACTGAAGGAAGTGACTACCTTGTGTCCACTGATCTGCTAGTGGGTCACTTTAAATGAAGCTGTTAACCATTGTGCCCTACAGGATAAGCATTGGATTGCTAATCACAAAGTTGGCAGTTGAACTCACCAGTCACTCCTCGAAAACCATACACATCAGGGCCCCTATGAGTTGGAACCCGCTGGACCTAATGAAAACCACACGTCCACAGCCTTATCTGTTGTCTGGAGCAGACTGGCCAGGGGTTGAGTGTCTGCATTCCTGATGAGTCCTTGTCAGATTCCCTTCCATAAGTAACTACTAACAGCTTATTGTCTGTGGTGGTGGTGTGTTGTGGAGTTGGTTGTGACTCACATAGCGAGCCTGCATAGGGTTTCTGACGGGAGCAGAAAGCCTCATCTTTCTCCTGTGAAACGGTTGGTAGTTTCCAACTGCTGACCCTGAGATTAGCAGCCCGACTGGTAACCACTATGCTACCAGAGCTGTTGTTGTTGTTGTTAAGTGCTGTCTACGGTTGCTAAATAACCAGTTGGCGCTCTGAGTTATGCACTGGACTGCAAAGTTGGTTTGAACCTCAAGTTCGGGGTTTCAAGCACACCAGGCATTCCTCGTAAACTGTATACAGGGTCGCTGTGAGTCAGAACTGACTGAAGAGTACTTAACAACAACAACAACATAAAAGAAATGGAGTCCTGGTGTGGCACTGTGGGATAAAGCACTGGACCACAAGGTCGACTGAACCATAAGGTTGGCAGTTCAAACACACCATCCGCTCCTTGGAAACCCTATACTGGATCAGCACTTAACAACAATAGCGTCAAAGAAACAGAATTTCTGGGTGACACAAGAAGGAAAATTCTTTGAATCCACTTGGGAAAGCGGGGGAGGGGGACTCAGAAGAATCGTATGTGCCATAACCCACTCAGTAGCAACAGGTGTGGTTTTGTTTATCAGAAAACAGTGCAAGCAGAAAGGTAACATTTCAAATGAGGTCATCAAAGGAATTTCTGGTCATGAAATATCTGCTAATGTTTTAAAACGAACTGATGCTTTGATACTGTTGTTGTTGTTTTAGGGTTTGCTAAGTTGGTTCCAACCCATAGCAACCTTGTACACAAAAGGAAACACTGCCCAGTCCTGTGCCATCCTTACAACTGTTGCCATGCTTGAGCCCATTGCTGCTGCCATGGTGCCAATCCCTCTTGTTTGCAGTCTTCCTCTTTTTTCACTGACCCTTCACCAAGCATGATGTCCTTCTCTAGGGACTGGTCCCTCTCCAGGGATTGGTCCTTCTGATAACATATCTGAAGTATGAGAGATGAAGTCTCATCATTCTTGCTTCTAAGGATCAGTTGGTTGTATTTCTTCCAACACTGATTTGTTGGTTCTTCTGACAGCTTTTGTACTAGTCAACTTATATTTTGCTGAGCACCTGCCCTGTGAATCAAGGTGTCAATTAATTGTGACTGATCAAGTTTCTCCACATTGCAACACTGCACACGTGGGGTGGAGATAAAGGCAGCTGACACCCACCTTCCCCCTATCTGAAGCAAGCCCATTTTTACCTATAAAAAAGAAAACTTTGCAGACATGAGAGCACCACTTCATTTGTATGAATCAGGACAGGTTTCAGGAAAGATGTATGTAGCGGAAACAGAAAGACAGAGAGCTGTTGGATGCCAATTTGGCCTATTCCCAAAGTGCTTACTGTTTGGCTTTTGGGGGAGAAGTTTCTAGAACGTGTCAGCCTTACCTGAGAACTCCAGTTCCAGAGCCACAGTCAAAGCGGAACTCCACGTGGCTCCCCACCATGTTGACAGATAGGAAGTCTTTGCTGTCCGTGTCGTAACTATAGATCAGGGCGCCATCTCCGGAGTCTGGCCTGAATGTGATCTCAAATTCCATAAAGGAGAGATAATGCTGAGGTTCCAGCGGCCAGGGTGTTGCTGCGTAGGATCTCAGGGACTCTCTGAATTGAGGAATGGCCAGGGTGAAAGCTGAAGAAACAAGCATGCCATTAACATTCCTCTGGAAGACACTGGCTACTTGTGCACCGATAACCATGTGCTTTTCCTTTTGGGCACAGAACTAAACTGTATTTCCCAGCTGCCCTGAGGTGCAGTGGTTAAACACTTGACAGGCTACTAACCAAAAGGTTGGTAGTTCGAACCCATTCAGTTACTCAGTTGCAAAAGAGCCCTGGTCTTTTCCCCTTAAAGATTATAGCCAAAGAAACCCTAGCAGGCAGTTCTACTCAATCACGTGAATTGGAATGGACTCAACCACACCTAACAACAACTGTAGTTACTTACGTGGATTATGTGACAGAATTCTGGCCAATGGAATGTGGATGGAAGCAGCTCAGGGCAGGCCCTGATAGCTTCACTTGGCACTACGTGCTTTCTCTCTTCCTTTGCCTGCTGGCTGGATGCAGGACTCACTGGGGGATTCTGAGTCTCTAGAAGTGCTGCCCATAGGGCAGGAGCTTGAGTCCCTGAATAACTGAATGGAGAAGAGGTTTGCAGGAATCCATAAGCAAGAATGAACCTTTGAACTGTGAGATGATGGTCTGTAACAGCATTAGACTTACACTGACTCCTACCCTTCTTTCTACTTCAGATAATACAGTCGTGAGAGAATACAAACTGATCTGAGGTGTAACAGGGTGGTGTTGTTTTTTAATAGTATGATGCTTTATGTGTAAATCTGAATCACCACTATAGAGCTCTGACTGGCTTTGTAGTCTTATTCTTAATTCTGTTTTCTTTTGTTAATTTCGGAATACCAGAAAAGTTCAAGCATGCTCAACCATGCATGGTTTTTCAGAATCTTTTAGATTTTCATATTAATATTATGTGTGCACACGCATGTCTATTTGCACAACAATATTGTGCATTGTTCAGTGGTGGGACAATTCAGCAGAACAGTTGAAAGAAGGATGATAACACTTTTGTTCCTTCGCTATGTTAATATTTCTCTTGGTCATTAAATATTGGTTCATGGTTTTTTGTGGGTGTGTTTGTTTAACTAGCTAATGCTTTTACAGCTATTGACATATGTTTGTTGAGTAGCTCGTGCAAGGTGCTAATTATAATCGATCAAGTTTCTCCTGAGAGCACTGTAGTCTCAGGCTGAAATGAAGGCAATTGTATACCTTTCCAAACATTTCTCTGCATCTGTCAGCTATCCTGAATATCAGGAGCTTGAAATGCTTTCGATTCAGTCTCACACGAACGCCATGTTGTTGTTATGTGCCGTGGAGTCAGTTCTGACTCATAGCGACCCTGTACAAGGTTTCCGACAATGTAAATCTTTACGGGAGCAGAAAGCCTCATCTTTCTCCTGCGGAACATCTGGTAGTTTTGAACTGCTGACCGTGGAGATTAGCAGCCTGATTCGTAAACCACTACGCTACCAGAGCTCCCTATAGGTTATTTTAAAAGCTAAGCATGACTCCGTTCTTGCTTAGCTTAAGCACATCCTAAAGCCAATAAATCTTTGGTTCGATGTTAGCATTTAGAGACCCTCCAACTTGGTCAAAATGATTCTAAGTGACATTGTTGTTGTTGTTATGTGCCGTGGAGTCGGTTCCTACTCATAGTGGGCCCTGTACAGGGTTTCCGAGGCTATAAATCCTTATGGGGGCAGAAAGCCTCATCTTTCTCCCGTGGAACAGCTGGTAGTTTCGAACTGCTGACCTTGCGGTTTGCAGCCCGATTCGTAACCACTATGCTAATCCCTTCAAAATGTCTGGGGCTTTGCTAAAAGCTCACAGAAGAAAAATTACAGTATCGTGAATTGACATGCAGACAGAAACTAGTTTCTTTCTCACCTTCTTCACAGTGTCGACCCTTGAATCCGAGGGGACAGAGGCAAAGGTAGGAGTCCGCTTTGGAGGCCAAGCAGGTACCACTGTTGATGCACGAGGCCTTATCACAGACGCCACTGCTGCACTCCCCTAAACACAGAGCAGGGTTACAGGGTGCACCACCCACACCAGCTGATCTCTCCAGCAGCACACACAGTTTGGCTCCCACTCCTGTTGATTTGCACCTCTGTACAACTGCAAACTTGCCGCTGGAGGATAAAGCAAGGTTGGCTTGAATCGCAAGGTCGGTGGTTCAAACTCACCACCCGCTTCTCAGAAACCCTATACAGGGTCACTGTGGAACCAACTCAACAACAACTGCAAACTAGCTTTCATATGTGAACTGTTTTCCATTTTCATTTGATTTTGGTTTCATTTAGGAAGAACCACAGAGACTCTTTAAAACATGGTGGACAAAGGAAAGCAAATTCCAAAGAGTTGGGACACTTAATGACCATGGGGGGGGAGGACTCAGTTTCCGGTTCATTCTCTCTCCTCTTCCACAAGAGAGGTATTTCATTGTCTCCAATGTCACCAAAGAATTTATGTTAAAAGTGTTCTAATTTGCGCATGCCCAATTAGCTTCAGTGAGACTGCTTTGCCTTCTTTCAAAGTTGAGGCAAGGTAAGTCCTACCTGCTCCGGGAATGAAACAGCCACGTCTAAGCTTATACTATGAGCTGGCTGAGTCTTCTGTAATACCTCAGCATGTGAGTTTCATAGCACCTCTATTGGCCTCTAAAGTTATAGCTGTAAGTTGGACAGGAAGGTGTTCTGAGGAAAATATGGTGAAAGAGCCCACATTAGATTGGTCAGCTCTTTACACCAATTATATCAGAGAGGACCCATGTGGGATTGAATCTATAACTTTCAAGCACACCTAATTTTTTAACATGGATTAGACAAAAAAGTCATTCCTGAATTATTTTTTGCCTGGTCCTTTGGTTTTCCTTTCCTTCTTGTGTCTAAAAGAAATTGGACATAATTTGACCCAGAATTCTCTAGGTGAGCATGAGACCTTTTTTTTCTAGTGGTAGAGGCTAAGGGTACATGTGTCTGAATGGATGGGGAAAAGCCAGCCTCCCCCTTAGTCTCCATTGTTCCATCTGCACCGCTGGTAGCCTGCTTCCCTTTTGGATGATGAGCCCTCTTTAGTCCAGTCATGCCATATCAGCAAGGCTAATGTCCTCTCCTGTCCTCAGCAGTCATCGGTTTGGTCAATGGAGCCATTTTTTTTCTTTCTTATTGGGTAGAGGGACAGGCTAAGCGTAGAGTTTGCATCTGGGAGAGGCTGACATCAGGGCTGATAACAATTTACTGGAAGGCTCACCAGAATCCTGTTGTGGCTCTGTAGTGTGAGCACTGGACTGCTAACTGTGGGGTCAGTAGTTCAAACCCACAGCTGCTCTTTGGAAGCCCTATAGAGGGTACTATGAGTAGGAACCAGCATGCTGGCACTTGATAACAACATACGGCTTACCCCCTTAGCTGGTGTGGGATTTTGTTGTTGTTGTTGTTAGGTGCCATCGAGTTGGTACCAACTCATGGTGACCTTATACACAACAGAACGAAACACTGCCCAATCCTGGGCCAGCCTCACTATCGTTGCCATGCTTGAGCCCATTGATGCTGCCACTTGGCCAATCCATCTCACTGGGGGTCTTCCTCTTTTTCTCTGACCCTCCACCTTACCAAACATGATATCCTTCTCCAGTGACTGGTCCCTCCTGAAAATATGTCTGAAGTATGAGGGACGAAGTTTGGCCATCCTGGCCTCCAAGGAGCACTCTGGCTGCACTTCTTCCAACACAGATATGTTGGTTCCATGGGCAGCCTGTGGCACTTTCAATATTTTCCTCCAACACCGTAACCGTAACTCAAAAGCATCAATTGTTCTACCATCTTCCTTATTCATTGTCCAGTTTTCGCATGCATATGAGGTTATTGAAAATATCATTGCTTTTGTCAGGCTCACCTTAGTCCTCAAGCTGACATCTCTGCTCTTCAACACTTTAAAAAGTGTTGTCTTGTGCAGCAGATTTTCCTAATGCAGTAAGTCGTTTGATTTCTTGACTGCTGCTTTCATGAATGTTGATAGTTGATCCAAGAAGAATGAAGTCCTTGACAACTTCAATTTTTTTCTCCGTTGATAAGAATGTTGTTTATTGGTCCAGTGGTGAGGATTTTTGTTTTATTTACACTGAGATGCAATCCATACCAAAAGCTGTGTTCTTTGATCTTCATCAGTAAGCATTTTAAGTCTTCTTTTTCAACTTTCAGCAAGCAAGGTTGTATCATCTGCATAGCTCAGGTTGTTAATGAATTTTCCTCCAATCCTGGTGCCACGTTTTTCTTCATAGAACCCAGCTTCTCGGATTATTTGCTCAGCATACAGGTTGAATCAGTACGGTGAAAGAATACAAGCCTGTCGCACACCTTTCTTAATTTTAAACCATTCAGTGTTCCCATGTCCTGTTAGAAAAACTGCCTCTTGGTCCAGGTACAGATTCCTCATGAGCATGGTGTGGGATGGTGCATGTGAATTCCAGCTAGTGACCACTGGGAGCTCAGGAAGAAGTGACTAATGATCTTTTTTCAGTCACAGCCCGGAGAGCATCACTCACGTACATAGTCTCTGTGGAGAGGCTGACTTCTAACTTAGAAACACTGAGCAGATCACGCTACCTGTTCCTCCTCCTCCCCCATACACTCACTGGAGTGCTCTTCCTTTCTCCTCTGCTTTTTCCTCCATTCTTGCTTCAGAGATCAGCATCAATCACTTGCTTAGAAATCCCTTCCCCCAATTTCCAAACTCCTATTATACACTATATTGTTGCACCTTCACGTCTCCTTTGCAATTTCACATTTATTTGTGTGATTAAATCATCACTTTGGTCACTTCTTGTGTCCAGTATATGAGGACTGAACTGGGATCCTGTCTTGTTTTGTTCATTGCACTACCCTCAGGGCCAGCCTTAAGTAGTAGGTACTCATAATAAGTATTTATTGAAAGATAGAATGAGTAAGGAGCTTGATAAACCATAGCTGGCCCATGTCCACTATTGTTGTTGTTAAGTGCCATTGAGTTGGTTCTGATACATAACGACCCTGTATAGGGTTTCCAAGGAAAAGCTGGTGAGCTTAAACCACCGACCTTACAGTTCAAATGATTTTGCAGTCTGATGCATTAGTCCACAGCGCCACACTCACCCACAGTAGATCTCTTGAATCTCAAACTATTTGGGATGCTTGACTCTTAACCTTGCTCCAGCAAGATGCAGAGACTCAAGATAGGACTGGAAAACATGAGTGGTGGCAAAAATGTGCATGGAAATAATACAAGAACAATCTGGGTCAGAGAATCCCACACTTGGCAGAAATTGATGACTGTTCTAGAATGTGAGAGGAGGAGAGAATGCAGATGTTGGAAACAGTCTAAAGGAAAAGTTGAAGTAGGAGGTGTTGAGTAACAAAAGGCCACTCTGAGACGTGAAAACAGGCTTTGTGGAGATTGTGAAATATGGCAGTGTTGACAGTGAAGATGATAATGCCACCTTCCAGGTGTCCGATGGAGGAATCATGGCTCTGAAACTCATCCATCTCTTGGAAGCCTGTAGCTTCTTTGGAAACTCACTGCTGTTTGCATAAGCCAGTGTCCTGCATTGAATGTTCATGAACCTGCATTTCAGGAGTACTGGTGTGGTGCTGTGGGTTAATGCGCTGGACTGCAAAGTTGCTTTGAACTGCAGGGTCAGTGGTTCAAGCTCACCAGCTGCTCCTCAGAAATTCTATACAGGGTCGCTATGGGTCAGAATTGACTTGACAGCACTTAACAACAACAAAATCAACACAAAGGAGGGGCAGGATGCTTCCATGGTAGGATTTTCACCTTCTATCTGGGGGGACTCGCCTCCACTCCCAGACAACATACTTCATTGGTCAGTGATAGATTGCCTGTTGCTATGGCTGACCAGGAGGAAGATCTGCAAGCTAATGAAGGCCAGTCAATGAAAACCCTGTGGAGTACAGTGGTCTGATTAGGGACAGGGCAGGGCCAGGTAGCGTCTCATTTCGCTGTGCATATTTATTTACAGAAAAGTTCAAGAAAAATAAGCAGCCCTGTTTCTGTACCTCAAAGGAATGGGAAGAAATTTTTAAAAGGCGATGTGACTAATAGCCACCATTAAGGCACATGGAGAGAACTTTAATAACCCAATAAGTATCTCCTGGGAGCCATCCAGGTAGGCCCTCCCGGTGCTATATGCTTAATGAAGAAGTTGGCATTCCATTGTGGTAGAATCAAGGAAAAATCCCAAACTGGCAGACATCAGCTCTTACTCAACTTTGCAGCTTCTGAGCTACTTGTCATAAGCTACCGTGAAGCTTTGAAACGACAAGATCTGCCTTGCAGGACTGTTTCCCTGTCAGGTCCAGACAGAGAGAAGAAACAACGGATGGATTCCCTGCCTGTTGGATGAAGTCCAGAATATAATCATTATAAAATGAATAGCAAATATTGATGTGCAAGATCCTATTCTAAGTACTTTATATACACCACAACTCATTTAAACAAAGTCATCCCATGAGGTCGGGACTATTTCTAGCTAGGGAAGCTGAGTCACAGAGGAGTTGACTGATTTGCCAACTCCAAGCAACCTGCTTTCAGGGTTGAGGTCCTTAATCGCCACGTGACACTCCTAGTGAAACTGCTGCTTCTGATGATCTGATTCATCACAGATATTCTACAAGAGAGACTTTGTAGATGTTGCCTAAACACAGTGACAATTGTCTTGGCCCTCGCTGCTTATTGGTTGCTTTGACTAAGTGCTTTAAATGGGAGGAAAATCAGCCCAGGAGATAACATACCGATAGTAGACACTTCCTTTTAAGTGAGCTTCCATAAGTATCCTAACCTGTAGCGATGGGCAAGATGAAGGGAAGAAATTAGAGACCAGTTTGGGAGCCTTTGATACGGTAGGTGCCATGGTTAAAAGGGCACTATGTGGAGAATGGCTGAGATAATAGTTAAGTTCTACCAATTACTAGCTGAGTCATCTTGGGCAAGTTCCTTAACTGTTCTGTGTTGAAGGTTCTCTATAAAATCAGGCTAGTCACAGTACCTATTTCATAGGATTTGAGGGAAGATTAAAGCAGTAAGTGCTTAGAATGGCACAAACATGGTAGCTGCTCAACTAATATTGTTGTTGAATTCCATCCAGTTGGTTTCGACACATAGTGACCCTGGGTTTCCTAGGAGCAACTGGTGAGTTTGAACCACCCACCTTATGGTTCAATTTGCAGTCCAACCCATTAACCCACAGAGCCACACCAGGACTCCCAATGAATACTAGCTAAATAAAAATAAACAAACCAAAAGGTACCTGGAGTCATAATGATTAAATCCTAGCTCTGACCAAGGGTTAAAGAGAAGGAAGGATGGATATGTGAGAAATCAAATGGAAAACACCTTAATGGTAGATTTAGGTAGTGGGTATGTCGGTGTTTATTGTGCCAGTCTTTCAAAATAACATCATGGAGATGAGGGGAAAAGGGACCCAAGAAAGAGCCTTGCCTTTTCACCCCAAGAACAATGTCATGTGAGGATGTGATGTTTTCAAGTTGCGATGTCCTTTGTGATCATGAATTCAAGTCAAGGGAATCACATCAGCATCATGCAAGAGTTCTGCTGTCTTTGCATCATCAAATTAACCAGCTTTGGAATTATATGCCTGCTGCCTTAATGTCCTTAATGATTTAAAAACTATTTTAGCTGTGTCTGCTTGTTTTGATAACTTATTCAACTTCAATAAGGTCCATTTCTTCACCTATAACATGAATGTACTAATATTTTCTACCTCCTAGAATTAATGTGACGGTTCACTGAGAGAACCTATGAGAAAGCATTTGGTACCAAGGTCAGAAGTTTGAGTCTGATTACTTCTTTTAGAAGCGGGCACATATGAAAGCTCTTCATCTCTTACTGACTCCTTACATTGCTGACTCCAGTGACTTTTTCACTGGAAGTGGGGAGGTCAGGAGAAAGGGCTGAATTGTTTGTTACTTTGTCCAATGAGAACAAAACGAGTTGAGACAGCAACAGGACACAGACATGGGTCTGGTACACTGTGTGGTTGATCAGACCTAGTACTCAGACTCACAGTCATCATAGTTGCTGAGTACCAACCCCACCCTGTGGTCCACCTCCGTCCTGAAGTTCTACATTAACCAACCACTCAGGATGGGAACCTAAGGAGATGCTCACTGCTCTGGCCTAAGCCACTGGGGAGCGACTTACCCACATCAGCCCCGCTCGTCACCTTCCCCAGGGGCCAGGGCCTCATATCGATTGTCATCCCGTTAACTGTGAGCGACTGTACACAGCCTTGAAAGCCTTGGTTTGTTCCTGTTGCTCTGACCAACCAGTGAGCACTGGGCACCCCACCAAGATACAGAGGCGTCCGGAAGGTAATTTTACTGTACTGGCCCTGCAAGAAAGATGAAAACACGATCACACTATACATAATCAAAAGCCAAAATATACCAAACTTTGATAAGGGATTTGATTAAGATGTAGGATACATGGCTTCTGCCTATCCATGTTTTTCTTTAAGGCATTGCCCCACTGAAAAATTAAACCCATGGTTACCATGGACAACCCAATGAGCTCCTCAGAGGATTGTGTTTTCCAAAGGACTAATTTTGGAATGACTAGAAGGGAGAAGAATGTATGTCAGTGCCAAGACCAACCCAACAGGCAGTGTACCATACTGGGCATCCAACAAACACATTCTCTTTGCAGAGGTGATCAATTTATTGTGCACTTTGGGCTGGTCATGGGATGAGTCTGGGGCTTATAAAGTAATTATACTAATTTTGTGTGTAGGTGGGCTAACTTTCTATCATGTCCCGTAAGGAACATTAAGGGGGAAGGAGTGCTGCCAAACAGATTCTATTACAAAATATTGACATAAAACTATTTTTAAAAACTGTTACTAGGTAGGGACATTACCAATCTTTGACCAAGCCTTAATCGGATTGCAGGTTTTAAGGTTACAAAATACAGGACTGAACATGCCCCAAACCAAACCCACTGCCAGCAAGTTGATTTCACTTCACTGTAACCCGATAGGACAGAGTCTAACACATGGGCTCCCAAGGCTGTAGATCTTTACAGCAGCAGACTGCCACATCTCTCTTCTGCAGCTGGTGGATTTGAACCATTGACCTTTTGGTTACCAGCTGAGAACTTTAATCACTGTGCCATCAGGGGTCTTGGCTAAATGTTGTTGTTAAGTGCCATCAAGTCAGCTCTGACTGAGTGACCCTACGTCTGGTGTCTGAGGAGTGGCTGGTGGGTCTGAACTGCCAACCTTGTGGTTAATTTGTTGTTTTGTTATTAAGTGCCATCAAGTGGGTTCTGACCCATAGTGACCCACTGATTAGTAGTCCTGTGCTTATCCAATAATGCCCCACCAGGACCCTGAGTGAAGATAGTTGTTAAATGCCATGGAGTCAGTTCTGACTTATAGTGACCCTGTACAGGGTTTCTAAGGAGCAGCTGGTGAGATTGAACCACTGACCTTGTGGTACAAATCAACATTACAGCCCAGTGTATTAACCCGCAGCATGACACCAGGACTCCAAAATTAAGATACCTTTGATCATTCATTTTTATTAAAGAACTATTATTTGGATTACAGAGTGAAGAAGAGTCCTGGTGTGGAGTTGTGGGTTAATGCGCTGGACTGCAAGGTTGGTTTGAACAGCAAGATTGGTGGTTCAAACTCACCAGCCACTCAGCTGAAACCCTATACAGGGTCATTACGGTTCGGAACCAACTCTATGACACTTAACAACAAGAGTTGGGGATAGGCATTCTCCCAGAATTTACAAAATTCCTAGAACACAAGCCACTGAGATAAAATCTTTACCTTATAAATGTTTTTAACAATAAGTGGAAAATCTAATCATTATTTTATTTATAGAAGCCCTGGTAGCACTGTAGGATAAGCACTGGACTGCTAGACTCAATGGTGGCAGTTCAAACCCACTAGTGGCTCTGTGGGATAGATATGAGGCTTTCCGATCCCATAAAGTTTTACAGCCTCCAGACCACTTCACTGGGTTGCCATGCGTTGGAACTGATTCCAGGAGAGTGGCGGTAATGAATACAGTGGGATCCTTTGTAATTAAGAGGTTGGTATGAGCTCGGCAACTTTACAGGAATTGCAGTGGGTTTTAAGGATCAATGAGATGATTTGCCACCACCGAACATACTCCTTTATTAGATGAATTTAGTACCCTGTTGGCTTATTAAAGTGGCGAAACGGTTTGCACTCCGCTATGAAACAGAAAGATCCTTAATTACAAAGGATCCAGTAACATCTTGGGAGAAAGTCCTGGAAAGCTGTTTCCATAAAGAATTGTTGTTGTCGCTAAGTGCCGTCGAGTCAGTTCCGACTCATAGAGACCCTGTATAGGGCTTCCGAGGAACAGCTGGTGAGTTTGAAGCTCCGACCCTTGCAGTTCAAGTCCAATGTTTATCCTACAGCACCACATCAGGACTCTTCCATAAGGAACAGATGCAGAAAACCTTATGGAGCATACACAGTTCTACCCTAGAACCGTGGACTGCTATGGGCTGGAATTGACTCAATGGCAACAGGTTCACGTTGGCTTTATTTCATCAAGATCCCCAGGATGACTTCCAGATCCCACCTTGACTTCTTACCCTGTTCTCTAATGCAGGGCCAGAGTAAGGGGCCTGACAGCTCAGTCCTTATGGAGAACATACAGCACACTTGAAGGCCGAATGGCTCCTTGGAGATGTTCCTCACAACATATCAAGTAGGCTTTGTTGTTGTTGTTGTCAGGTGCCATCGAGTTGGAACCGACCCATAGCGACCCCATGCACAGCAGAATGAAACAAAGTCCGATCCTGGGACAACCTCACTATCGCTGTCACACTTGATGCCATCAATGATGCCACCTGGCTGATGCATCTTGTTGGGGGTCTTCCTCTTTTTCTCTGACCCTCCATCTTACCCAGCATGACATCCCTCTCCAGTGACTGTTCCCTCCTAACAATATGTCCAAAGTATGAGAGACAGAGTTTAGCCATCTTGGCCTCTAAGGAGCATTCTGGCTGCACTTCTTCCAAAACAGATCTATTGGTTCTTTTGGCAGTCCATGGCACTTTCAGTATTCTCCTCCAACACCACAATTCAAAGGCATCAATTCTTTTGCGATCTTCCTTATTGACTGTCCAGCTTTCGCATCCATACGAGGTTATTGAAAATACCATGGCTTGGCTGCCTCTAATGAGGATGTGTGTGACATGCCTGTGTGTTACTTTTAACAGCCAAGCACTGGACTGCGAACCAAAAGGTCAGCAGTTCAAACCCACCAGCTGCTCTTTGGAAACCTACACAGCCCGCTATGAGTTGGAACTGACTCAACGGCACTTAACAACACTACCTTGGTTTTATTGTTGTTGTTGTTGTTTTTACAGTTGCTGTTGGACCGTTGGGGCCTGCTTTATCTGCCTATGCAGAGAACTGGTAGTGCCTGGGAGTCTGAGTTCTCCCAAACACCCTCTTGCCTAGTTACCCAGGGGTACAGAAACAGCAAAGCCTCATTTCTTTGCTCTGGGTTGGACTAACGCAGAGTAGGTATAATGTCCACTCCAGAGCTCTCCAGTTGTGTCTGAAACCATCCTCTGCAGAACTCTGCCTGGTTCTTGATGGCTTCCTCCCCTACCATTCTTCCAACCTCTTACCAGGTTCCTCTGGGAGCATTTTCTTAATGCATCACTGCACAGGACTCCTCATCTCACTTACTTTTCTGAGGAACCCAAATGAATAGAGTCACTATTTCCCAAGGCAGTTTATTAAACATTCCACATCTGTCTCCTGCTTCTGCAACTTGCTTAGCATGTCCCAGTAATATAGAAGCAAACTTCACTCTTATGTATACAGACAATTAAATACTTCCTGTAATTCATTCTTATACTTATTAAAATCATAGACCCTGGAGACTGGAAAAAGACATGAAAATATATAACCCAAATTTCCATTAGTTGTTGGATCCCTTCTGAATCCCTGATAAAAGCTTTAGCTATATTACTTTTGAACATTCCCCAAGTGCAGGAAACTACCTCTTGAGTTGGTCTGTTAGACTTTTATGTAAGTAGATGGAGGTAAAACAGTTCTTCTCCATTCAGTTTCAGCATTGGGGGTCCACAGACTAAGTTCTTCTTCCCCAGGAATCTCTCTGATTCTATGATGAAAAACTATCATCCATATTTCATCTTCTCTTCTCTAAATTCAACAACTGTTCTCCTATCAATCATTCCAGGGACTTCAAGTACTGTCCCGGTTAGGGTGGCTGCTCTTTGAACATGTTCCAGTCTGTCTGTGGGTCCCTCAGAATGTGATCACCGGTTTAAATTTAGTCCTCTTGGAGGAGGAGTCACCACAGAATAGAATAAGATGGTCACTTCCCTTGTGCTAGATACTATGCCACACAAAGATTTAAACAGTCATCTACTAGCTGAAGGTTGGCCATTTGAACCCATGCAGAAGTGTCTCAGGAGAAGGTTTGGAGATCTTGATTCAGAAAGGTCATGGCCTTGAAAACTGTACGGAGCAAGGCTCTACTTTGACACACATGGTATCATCAAGAATGAGAATCGAGCCGATAGCAACTAACGACAACATTATGCTTCGATGAATGCAGTCAACAACGTTTTGAGTTCGTTGTTATCACATGGCTCTGTTCGTTGGCTAACCTTTGTTAAACTTTCTTGCTTTAAACATGATGATATATTCACATGCGTTTACATCTATTGTGGCTTTTGCATCTCATCTTCATGTTAGCATTTTAGACCCAACTTCAAGGCTCTTATATTCCTATTACACTTCATGCTCAATTAGACTCATTTTTCTGCTATGTACTTGTATGGGACTCTGTTGCTTCATTGTCCTGTCTTTTCCTTCCCCAGAAATATGTGCATAAACAATCTCTGGATTCACATTCACTGTCTCTGGGTTCATGTTCCCTTTGAACCACTGGGGTCCAGACTAATGAGATTTGATTGTATTCTGGATCAGCTCTTTATATAATATGTGCCTCTAGCAAAGAGTAGTGAAGAACACTGGCTGGGAGAAAACTAAACACCTATATACAAAGGCCTTCTTGCTATATTTTTCCTCAGAGAATACAGACACCTGTCTGGTTATAATTACAGGCTCTGTTCCTCAGCAGTTGCTAATTCAAACTGTTTATTCTAAACACAGTTCTAAAATTGCCTGGAGCATGACAAATAAGTGAATACCTAGGTGATTTTCTGAGAAGGCCAACAGTTTAATTATTTTACCACTTTCCACAATCAAGACACCCAAAATAAGTATTTGAATGGATTATTCCAGAATATAGAACCAAGTGAACCTTTGAGGATGATTTTCTAAAGCCACAGGATTGCAACACTCCTACTTTAAAAGAAAGTTTTGTATTTGACAGGAATCATGTGTGGTACAAATAGTTTGAGCTCAGCTACTACCTGAAAGGTTGGTGGTTCAAACTCATCCAGCAGCACCATGGAAGAAAAGCCTGGCAGTGTGATTCTGTAATGATTATAGCCAAGAAAATCCAATGCAGTTCAGTTCTACACTGCAACACATGAGGTTGCCATGGGGCAGAACTAACTTGATAGCAATGTTGTTGTTTTTTAAATTCCAATATGGGCTCTCTTCTTCCTTCAGCTTAATAGTTAGTAATAGGTGTTTTGTTGTTAAGTGTCATCGAGTTGGGTCTGACTCATAGTGACCCTGTATAGGGTTTCCAAGGAGTAGCTGGTGAACTTGAATAGCCAACCTTGTGGTTCAATCCGACTTTGCAATGCAGAGCATTAACCCACAGTGCCACACCAGGACTCCTATTAATAGTTTGCACCCTTAATAGTTATTCCCACACATATTATCCGAGTTTCTGCTTGTACATATTAGAAAAATCAAGCGTTTCTTTTGGAGTGTAGCATATTTGTTCCTGAGTCACAGTCTGTGCTTACCTTTTAGAGTTTTCTGTGACTTCAGACTACTTATAGGTCTAGAAGCAACAATTGGTGGGGATGTGGGATCGTTAAGGCTTTGTGTCAACTTGGCTGAGGCAGGATTCTCAGTGGTTTAGCAGTTAAGATGGAGTTATCACTTCCATGATGAAATCCAGTATGATGCAATCAACTTTGATCTGATGTGATCAGTGCTGATCTGACATAATTATCCTATGTGTTATAAACACTCACCTCTATGATGTTGATGGGAGTCCTGGTGTGGCTCTGTGGGTTAATGCTCTGGATTGCTAAGTCAGTTTGAATCGCAAGGTCAGCAGTTCAAGCTCGCCAGCTGCTCCTTGGAACTCCTATACTGGGTCACTGTGGGTTAGAACTGACTAGAGAGCACTTAACAACAACAACAACATGATATTAATGAGGTCAAACATAATCTACAGAATTAGATTGTGTCTTGAGTCAATTTCTTTTGAGATATAAAAGGAAAAAGAAATAAGCAGAAGAGATGGAACTGAAGTGTGTCCTTTGGACCAAGGGTCCCTGTACTGTGAAACTCCCAGATCCAGGGGAAGATTGATGCCGAGACACATGGAGATCTCCAAGGAATGCTGGGCCTCTTAGATGCTGAGAGGCAACAAGGATATTTCCCCAGAATCAGTACTCTGAATTTGGACGCCTAGCCTTCAAAATTGCAAAAGAATACATTTCTGTTCATTAAAGTATTTGGTGTTTCTGTTTGTTATTTCAGTTATAGCTGCATTAGGTAACTAAGACAGGGTGTTTCCTGGGAACATTAGCAACGTTTTACAAGACATCTGCCTGAAAGAACGCCCCAGACACTGCCTCAGGAACCATCTCAGAAGGCACAGTTGGATTCATCTCATTACATTTGGGAAGAAGGGATAATGGTGTTATGATAATGGATTATCAAACAAAGATGGCATCATCTTTTCAGGTAGGAGGAATGGTGCTGTCAGTAAGAGTGATTCAGCAGAATTTAGGGGCCCAATGTCTCCAGCTTCCTGATTTTTTGCCTATATGCTCCCATTCCATGTTTCAGGCTCCCATTTCTTTCCAACCAATGCCCTCGTTTTAACATTTGATTTAATATCTGAGGTTGGGAATTCAACTGATACTATAATTCAGCCATTCTCATGATGAGAAGATTCTGGGTTTGGTTTTTGGCAACATCAGCTCTATTACTAGAAGAAACAAGACTTCCTTTCAGGGCACAGGTGGAAACTTTAAGATCTTTTATGCAGACTTGAGTTGTGTATGACTCTGAAGCCCTGAGCTCATCTCTTTCCTTTACAGTTTGGTCTGTTGTTAGTAGGACCAACAGAAGCAGGCTACAATACCAAAGGAATGAGGATGTTGTTGTTGTTAAGTGCCATCAAGTTGATTCTGACCCATAATGACCCTGTAGAGGATTTCCAAGGAGCAGCTGGTGAGCTTGAACCACTGACCTTGCAGTTCAAACGACTTTGCTGTCTGACGCATTAGCCCACAGCACCAAACCAGGAATGAGGATAGTTGGAGTTAAAAACAACTGGCAAAAGAACCAGCTTGTAGCTGCATATCCAACGATCTTCTGACACGTTAGGATGCAGAACAGTCCCAAGTGCAGAACTTTGTGTCTCACCCACACCCTGAGCAACCTCACCCATATCCTGCAACATTATAGTTTTGTCTCTTATTACCATGTAAAACTTCCTTTAAATTGTCTTTCAGAAATTCATGAGGCCATAACAAACTTGAATCTGATCCAGAGCATGCGCAGAATCTCCAACGCTAACTAAGATGTAACCATCCAGCTGGGGGATGCTGTCAAATACATCCTATAAGGAGCAATGATCAGCATCCCAGAAGCTTTTATCCTGCAAGAAGGCTGTGAAGACATCCACTTACCATGACCCCTCCCAACTGGGCAAATTCCAGGAAGAACTGCCCAGTTTCTTTGTTCCTTCATTTCTTTCATTATAGCAAAGAGTATAACTGCTCTGTTTAAAATTTATTCAGGCGAGATGTGTGCTGCATTGCTCCAAAAAGCCCGCCTTGTCTCCTCTTATCAATGTACTTTTACTCCTACAAATAAATTCCTTGCTTGCATGATAAGCCTGTTCTCCTGCTTCATTATTCTTACTTAGCAGAGAAAATATCTTTAATCTAGGCAAACATCCTGAGACACAACCAATCAGCTTCCCTGAACTTCTCATGTTGACAAAACTGCAGAAAAGTATGCAAGACACCATTAGCCAGAGTGAATCCATTAAAAGAACCTTGATTGCCACCAATACATTTTGTGTATTGATATTTTCACATCATACCATAGATTAGCAACACCCTCTTAATAGAAGCAGAGTTATCAATGCCTTTAAAACCAGGCAGATTTGAGAACCAATTTAGAAAATCTATTCTTGAAATTTTGTTTCTCTAGAACCACTCATGATACCAACGTATACCCTGAGAGCCCACCTAGAGTGCCACAATCTTCCAGGAGCAGATCTGAGCTCAGTTGCATGGATTTGCCATGAAAACTGGGATTCCATAAAGCTCATCCAAGGCTTTAGTTACTTTATCAACATGTCAGCTCTCTGCAGTGGGGCCTTTGGGATGCTTGTGGTGGAGATAAGTGATGTGGGCGTAGTATGAAGCTTTGGTACTCACCTGGGATTGCCCCGTCACTGGGGTACCATTGTTCAGCTGCAGCATTCCGTTCAATCCATCTCTGTAGAGTGTGACTGTGTGCCAGCTCCCCAGTTTGATTTTGGTCTTACTTGTGAGGATGGCCACCCCAGTTCCACAGTTAAACCTATGGTGGGGGTTGAGGAAGAGAGACTCTTTGATTAACTAGCTCATGCACTGTATTTTCAGAACCCAGGATCATCACTTACAGGGTCCTGTCTTCTTTCAAAGACGATCTATTCAGAGTTACATGGACTAATTTCAAGAGCCAGCTGATTCTACACACAGTAGGACTAGACTGCCTTCCCTGATGTGGCTTATTTATCTTTAATCTTGCCTATAGGATGTTGTTGTTAAGTGACGTCTTATAGCAACCCTGTATAGGGTTTCCAAGGAGTGACTGGTGAGTTTGAACTGCTGACCTTACGGTTCAAATAAACCTTGCAGTCCAGTGATTTATTCCATAGCATCACACCAGGACTCCTTCCCATAGTACAGGGCCTTCTTTAACCTGATTTTCTCTGCAGATTAGAAAACAATGGGCAGTTCAAGCCCTCCTCCTCCGTTTCAGAAATTGCCGAAAGTTTGAAGCCGATTCAAGTTGCAACAAGTTAGATCAAGAATCACACTGCTTCCAGGACTTCTCTGGAGACCTTCCCCAAATCCCAAGCGGTAGGTTCAGTGATATTCATAAAACATGAAAAAACCAAGTCTTTGCACTTATTTTGGCAAACTGGCAGCATTGCCATCTGTGCTCAGCTGGGCCCAAAGGCAGCACGCGGTTTCCATAGGAAGCTCCTCTCAAGGTGAGGTGTGGGACAGAGGAGGAGGATTCTCAGATGGAAGCATTGCCCTGGTTTAGTCCTAACCTCTGGACAGCCCAAGGGGTCCACCGCTCACTATGCTTGACAGACAGAGAATTTCAATCCTTTCTAATCAGCTTCCAGACAGCCTCCACACCACTTCTTCAGGGAGCCTGAGGCTGACAGTGGGAACAATTCCTGGCTGGAACTATTCTTATTAGGTCTTGCACTATTTTCAGCCACTTCTCATAACCTGCATTCCTTTATGGAGTGCCTCATTGAAGTGGTATGGGGTACAGTCATTGCAGAAGAGGGTCCCCTAGGGCGGGGTATCAGAATCACTCTCAGGAGCTGGAGAGTTGGGGACATTCTATCAGCCAAGAGAGGGACATTAATGGCACAGGGGTTCAGCGCTCAGTTACTAACAAAATCACTGACAGTTTGAACCTATCCAGTCTATTTAGAAGAAAGATCTGGCAATCTACTCCATAAAGATTATAGCCTAGAAAACTCCATGGGGCAGCTCTACTCTATCACGTGGGACTGCTATGAATTGAAATCAATGGCAGTAACGGCAAGCAGCCACCCACTGCCAGCTCTGCAAAGTCTACTGGATCCTCCAAGCTGAGAACCACTGTTGCAGATCGTGGTAGTTAGCACAAAATTCCCATGAGTTAAAGAATTTTAGCAAAGAATGGGGACCTATTTCCTAGTCCAAGTAGGATGGTCAACAGTTTTATCTAATTTAGCCAAAAGTATGTATATTTTCTGTGCTAAAATAACAATTAAAAGGTGTAATGGTAGATTGGAGAGACATGCCTTGCAGGCCTCTGCCAGAAATAACACAGAAAACTAGATGAAGCAGGTTCAGGGGACACAACTCTGTCCAGAACTCTGAACAACATGTAAAGGAATATTTAGAAAGATAGAAGACTTACTGCTAGTGGGATCTGTAGCAGAAGCAAGAAAGGTGGTGCTTTCTGATCTATGGCTGCCTGGGGGACCCGGAGCGGCCATCTTAGGTGGGATGGAGAAGAATCAGGATTAGAGGAGTACTCCCACTGCAGAGGTCTGACTGAGATCCTCAGAGACAAAGGTGCGAACATTTTTTCTGTTCATTTGTCTTGTGCTGTCTGTGCACCTCCACTCTGGTGACTACAGGGGGTACCTGAGTGAGTTGACACCCCTCTCCACCCCCAGAGGGTTCTAACCACATATGCTCAGCAAAGACCACAGTGCACAGAATCTAACAGGAACTGCTTAAAACTGAACAGTCTCCCAGAATGGCTGGAGCTGGACCTGAACTGTTTCTCACTGGGAGAAACACCTGAACAGGGTTGTGGAGGGGGAGAGAGACAGACTAAAAGGCTGAAAATTAAATCCTGAGTTACGTCATAAGGAGCAACAGCAATATCTTGAAATTTCTCAGGCAGCATTGTGGGCAAGAAGCTGAATTGTTGTTGTTAAGCGCTGTCGAGTCAATTCTGACCAATAGGGACCCTGTATAGGGTTTCCGAGGAGCTTTCTGGTAAGCTCAAATCACTGACCTTGCAGTTCAAATGGCTTTACAGTCTGGCAAATTAATCCACAGTGCCACTTCAGGATGCTGAGAGAGGGGCATTAAAGTCATACTTGTATTTTGCTATGGGTTTGGTTTTTTTTGTTTGTGTGATTATAGGCTATAGTATTCAATCTGGTTGTTTGCTGCTGTTGTTTTGTTTTTTGCTTTTGGAGCCCCCTTTTACCTTTGGGGGAGGCTCTTTCTCTCCCTATGTTACCCAAGAAGAAACAACAATTGTGGTCATGTAGCCAAGTTACAATCACACCTTATAAAATCCCACCATCCAAGCAAAAGCCAATACCGGCTTTTACCAGACAGACAGTCAACACCTTCTACAGTTACTCTGAGTTGAGTAATAAGTAAAGTGAAAAGGGACGCCCATCTCCTGATCACATGTACCTGGAGGCAATCAGAAAGTTTAATAATACATCAACATACATTCATCTAATTATTAAAAACACATCTCATTATTGAAGAGGCCCAAGACACAACTGAAGATATTGGCACATGTGTTGAAACAAGATAGAGTAGATGAAACAAATGAGCTGGAGGTAGACCTAGATTTATCACTGGAAGGAGGGCAGGCTTTGGAACTGTCTGAGAAGGAATTCAGGAGAATGATATTGAGGTGCATCCAAATGCTTCACAGAGGAGTTGAGGAAAATAAGGAAGAAGTCACGAAAGTGCTACAGGAACAATCCAATAAGATAGAAATACCATTGGAAACAATTCAAAACCTGCAAAAAGAGGTCCAAATAATTAATAATAAAATATCAGAAATGGACAATACACTGAAAAGGCAAACGAGTAGAACTGAAGTGATGGAAACCAGAACCAGAGAGCTCGAAGACAAATCTCTCAGTTCTGTTAAGATAGACGATCAAGCAGAAAAAAGGGATAAAAAATTCTGAAGAAAGTTTAACAGTCATGTGGGACAACAAGAAGAGGAATAATGAGAATTACTGGCATTCTGGAACAGGAAGAATTACTGACGACCACTAAGGAGATAGTTGAAGAGCTTCTGGAATAAAATTTCTCTAACATCTTGAAAAATGAAAAGATAATGCATTCAAGAAGTTGAACGAACCCCAGGAAGGCTAGACCCCAAAAGAAAATCACCAAGACAGACTAGGAAGGAGAGGCAAAATATTTATGAATGTCTAGCCACTGAAAACCTTACAAATAGTGCCAGAACATTCTCATACATAGTGCCAAGAGATGAAAACATCTAGGAATCGGACAATCGCTTTGATATCTCAAGCGAGGAAAGTTTTGCTAAAGGTAATACAGAAATGGCT